TACGATGGAGACAGATGGCGGCGCAGATGGAGACCTTGAAAATCGTGCTGGCGCAACTGTGTGAGCTCGTCACGCCGAGGACGGCGTCGGGGAGGCCCGGTGGTGATCCGCAGGCCTCCGCCTTTCCTGCGCTGCCAGCGCCATCTGCCACGCGGCACGAAGACGCCATCTTGGGCGTGGCAGGGGAGAAACGGCGGGAAGCCGCCATCTTGTCTTCACCGCGGCGGGAAGACGCCGCCATCTTCAACATCGCGGCGGAGAGGCAGCCTTGCGCTGCCATCTGGAGGTGCCGCGGGGTGAGCAGCCTGCTGTGAGCTGCTGTTTTGCGAGGAGGAGCTTCGAGGAGAGGACGCCGACGCTGCAGCTGCTGGGACGGGAGCTCTCCTGTCCTGGCTCGGGTGCGAGACAACGGAGCAGTCAAGTCATCGTTCGAGTTCTGCGAGGCGTCTCAAGTTACCACCCTGCGTCCTCTGCTTGCTGCAGCCCCGGGCGAGTCGTAACGATACGCACCCGGCCTTAACACACACCTCACCCATCTAGCGTGTGCCGGGGGGGGGGGGCGATTTTGGTCATGTTTAGAGCGTGCGGAGCGCGGTTCGGGCTGTGTGTGTGTGTGTTCTGGATGAACGCGCTATTTGCTTGTTGCTCGGTGTCAATTAGTGTGTATGTGTGTGTGTTGAGGATGGACGGAGAGTCTGTTGTGCTTGCTGAGTGTCAAATAGTGGGTGTGCGCTGCGGCGTGGAGTTGTTATCTTGATGGCGAAGTTAATTATTAACTCGGGAGCGTCGGGTATCCTGCGCTGTACCATCTCGTGGGTTACCGTGTGCGACGGGCTTAATTGAAAAATATTTTTTTTGGTGTATTGTGCTGCGAGGTGCTGTGTGCGATGTGGTTGTTGCAAGAGAGAGAATAATTGTGTTGTTGCTGCAAAGTTACGACAGGATTAATGGTGTGTTGGTTGCCTGCAGATCTGCTTGCTATTGTGCTTAAATGTACGCGTGTGATCGCTATATGCTGACTGCATGTGCTGTTACACCGTTCTGTACGGTTATGGGATGCGATGCATTGGTTGTCTATTGGGGTTGGGATTGTTATTAATTGTGCGTACCTGTTTGGAAATTGGTAACAAATTCGAGGGGGACCCAAAAATTTGGTTGTATGGGTGTTGTGCACACGAGATTGCGTGTATATTATAGGTAATTTGAGTTTTTTTTTTTAAATGAGGGTGCGCGATGACGCCGTTGTGGGTGGCTCAGATGTTAAGGGTGATGGGACCGTAAATTGGCGCCAAGTGGCGTCGCTCATTCGGTTGATTGCATGCAGCCAGGAGTTCCTTTGCAGGTTGGTGTGTGTAACCTATGTGTTTTGGTAAAATATTGGTTAAAAATTCCCCGATATGACTGCTGTGCGCAGCAAGCTGGGGCTGTGCGTCTATCGTTGGTGGGGTTGTTACAACGTGACGGGGGATGCATCTTGTGACCCCCAGCAAAGGGAAGCTGGGGTGCACGCACGGAGAAAACTGGCCACGTGTTCGCACGTTGGGCCGCCATTTTGCGCGCACGCGGGGTATGGCGACAATGCGCTTTGCGCAAAGGGCCGCCATTTTGAGTGCGCGCGAGATATTGCGACAACGCGCTTGGCGAAGGGGGCCGCCATTTTGAGCGCGGGGGAAAACCTCGGTGGGGCAAATATTCCATCTGTTATGCCTGCCTTTGTTGATTGGGTGATGCACGAGTTGTGGTCACATCGGCCTATGGCTGATTGCTGACCTGACAGCCCGGAGGCGAAACCTCCGTGGTATGTCTCAAACTAATGGGCCGTGTGCTCATATGGCTCGGGGAGTCACGGTTCAGTTGTGTGGTGGCAGACTGAACCTGGTGTGCCGGGGGCTCACGGGATTTGGAGTAGAGGATTGTTACGTGCCAGCGAACGGGGTGACCTGGCTAGCATGGAGCAGGGATTCTCTATGCGGGTCCTCCAGCTGGAAGGGCGGCGGACTTGTTCCGCTCTGGGTTAGGGCGTTATTGAATCTATAAAAGAACATTGCCCCGTGGGGGGAGTCGATGGGGTCTGGCATTGCCGGGGGATGAACCTTCCCTGGGCTATAAAGCATCAGACTATACGAGGCTGGTGTGTGTCCATCGCTGATGGGATAGTAAGGGAGGAGCATGGCCGAGTTGCTGCTCATCCCCGAAATTGCACTAGCCGAGAGTATGGTCAGTGGATGTTGCTGTGGTTTGACGACCACGGTGGGGGTTAGGACGAGTTAAACGTTACAGCTGGGGAGAGTGACTTTTTCCACGCGAGGGTGTGCGACTGGGGGTTTTGTTGCGACTGACCGGGGGTACATGCTGTGTACGTGTGATGTCTGTGCTAGTCCTCAAGGGAGGACTGCTGGTGGGCAAGAGCAGGAATTTTTTTTTGTTGTTGTTGTCACTTGTAAATAATGTTGTTGTTAAAATGTAAATACTGGGGCATTCATTGCGTCTATTTTGGGTATTTATTGGGGTTTTCTTAAGCGGGCCGGAATTACATCATCTCCACTACCCTGGGGCCGGGTGGCTGTCGTGTACGACATGTGGATGTGCGTTGTTGTGCTGTGCCTCAGGGGATTGGATTCTCCTTCTCGTCACAGATCTTCAGCGCCTGCCACACTGGGTGTTACCTGGTGTGCTAACTGGATGAGGACTTGAGCCGAGCGGATGGAACTGCAACATGGACACGTACTAAAACACCACATTCCTGGGTTGTGCGCGTCGGCCATTCTTGCGTGTCAGTTGCCGTTGTTGTGCATTGTGCCATTCTTATTCTTGTTGTTGTTGCGCGGAGGACAGGCCGGTGTTCTGTTCCAGTTCCTGATACCTCCCCTTTCGTTACTTGTGTTGTTGTTATAATCTCCGTTGTGTCTGGGGGACTCCTGTTTGTGATGCCTTCGCCCGCATTATTTTGTTCTGTTTTCAGCCGAGGACGGCTGGAATTTTCTCTACGGGGGAGGGTGGTGTAATGCGGGCGTAAACGACCTCCCGGATGTGACGTCACGGGGGGAGGAGTTACGTCACGTGGGGGGAGATGTTATAGCGGGGAGACAGGAAGACATCTGGGTCAGTCGGGGGAGTGAAGAGTGGTGAACACGTTGGGTGGTCGCCGTGCCTCAGCCTGGTGGCTGAGGGGCTCATGACGGCGCCAGCCAGCGGGGTGGAAGAGAGAGTTGGGGATAGAGACAGAGAGTGGCGAGATCGCCACAGAGGCCACGCAGGGCTGAGGTTGGAGATGGCGAGATCGCCACAGAGGCCACGCAGGGCTGAGGTTGGGGAGTGGCGAGATCGCCACACACGGTAAGACTCGGCACCGCCAGCCAGCGGTGACCGAGCACGGAGGAACGGGGAGCTGCAGGAGCGCGGAAGGCTACGGGGAGCGAAGGCAGCTGTGGAGCTGCCAAGCAGAGAGTCTCAGGAGGAGAGCCGTGTGGGAAGGAGAACGCGAACCCAAATAAAGGACACGGAGACAGAGACAGCGTCCGAGTCCTTTATTACACATGCATAGCGTTCACCTGAATATTAAAATTGTATCCCACCCTCACAGCATCTCTCTCTACCCTCCCTCGTCGGCAATCGGCTGCCTGTTGCTAGGTCGCCTACCTCTATCTCTCGCCCCTCAGGCCCTGTGAATCAATTTGGCAGGTACAGCGTCTTCCAATCAGAACCTCGTAAATTCGTTATATTTAATCTGATTTTCTTGGCAACACTAGCCTTCAATCACATACAGCCCCACCGACTCTCACCCCACGCCAACTGGCCTGCCCGGACTGGCCAATTCATGTCCTGCCCCCAGCCAAAGCCAGACTTAGTGGCGTCGTTGCTTCCGGCATCGTTGAGGGTCTTAGCAAATTATTCCCCCCATAACTGCTCACCCCCCCATTACCTCATGTAACCTCAGTCACCTCGGCTCACCCGGGCTAGAAAGCGCTTGTACACACCCACACCGTTACAATTACACTGTACACTACACCACTATATACTACACTACTAGGCAATAACAGCACCACTTTATTAACACGCCAAAAAAGCACAACTAAATGATGACGCAGTGGCGAGATGTTAACTACCTCTCTCCTGGTGTGCAGGTGGTGGTGGGTTTGATCTCGACCCTGACGCCTACTTTATATTTGGAGTTTGCATGTATCTCTCTCCTTGTGGTAGTATGGATTTTTCCCTGGGTTCTCCGGGTTTTCCCTCCACATTTAGAGACATGCATTAGATTTTTCTGCCATAAAGGTCCACATGTCACCTTATCATGCGAGTGGTGGTGCTAGCAGTCACAATTGCAAATATCTGCCATTCTGATCGCGTTGTGTGCTGCCCAACCTTATTGCTTCACTGCGCTGTATGTACTGTATACACAGTACTGTACTAATGTATAATATACCCTAAAAGGCCCCACTGCTTCTCGACAATCAACTTGGAATGCTTTACAACTGACTGGTGAGTACCTCGGTAAAAGAGTAGAGTATTTCTTATATCATAGTTAAAAGGTATGGTTAGTTTATTTCTTTAAAAATGTCATGTACTTGGAAAATTTGATGAACCATAAGTATAACTCTCAAATAACCGGCATATTGATTAACCAGCACTATCCATTTCCCATGGATGTGAGATCAGTTTTTGCTAGATATGTAATTTTTTTAATAATATGTGTTTCATCAAATTATAACTCTAAGTACTCAAAAGACATAGCGACAATATTGATTTACTGTAATCACATTACATAGTGTTCACTGCAAATATATTTTTGACTCGATGATGCCTACACCTGCATGCATTCTCAGAATGAGAGAAGGCAAATGGTAGCACGTTTGATCTTTGTTGAAGAGGTTCACAGTTCAAATCTGTCAGGCAGCCCTTATGATTACTGCAGAAATATTAACCAAAAATGTGTCATCTGCTTTACAGTGGATGTTTAAAAAACTTTGGCTCACCAAAATTTTACAAAATTTGAAAAATTTGCCACAAATAACCCAAATGGGATTACATATGAATCATCTCCCCACCCTACTGGCAGTCTCTAGCCCATATGCATTGTTGGATATGTAAAATGCGAAAGTAAAATATGCATATATTTATGTCAGCACCATATACATGTTAAGATTATTATGATAAAAGGTGAATGCTATGGAGGTTTTTTTGTCTCGTGCTCCTGTATATAGGCCTACCCAACCTGCAGGTCCACACATGCTGGCTGCTCCTATTCTGCATTGTCCAAAGAGTCCACATCAACATCCACAACCTGCTGGGGTTCATCTCACTCTCCCTTAAGAGTCCAACCTCTCCAGCTTCATGCTGTCTCCATCGACAACTTGGAAGTTGAACCTTGGAGTAAAATCTTCAACTCCACACATTTGTAATGAGAAAGACCAGTGAATAATGTGGATGAAATGGAGCTTCTTTGTCTCAAGCTCAAGGTGACACATCTATCTGGTCTCCATTTGATTCTGTATTGCCTGAAAATTCCACCCACACCTCCACATCCACAAACTGCTGATGGTGGCCTCGCTCTGCCTCAGATTCAGAATTCTCCTCCTGTTTCACACTGCTTCCATTGATGTGATGGTCGGATTTTGGAGTTGAATTTACATGTTCACATTTCACATTCACTTCTTCACGCTTCACCATCACTTCACATTTCACCTTCACTTCTTCACTCTTCACATTCACTTCTTGATATTTTATTCTTGCTTCTTGACATTTCACCTTCACTCCTGGCCACGTTTCATATCTGGAATGTTTATCTGATTCTTGTTTTATGAGGTATGAGCTCATTCCAGAACGTTGACTTTCACATGTCAAGTTCTGATTAATTTCCTTGTGAATCTTTTGATGCCTGTTTCGAATCCCTAACTGTCGAAACGCCTTCCCACACACAGTGCACTGGAAGGGTTTCTTTCCGGTGTGTATATTCCGGTGGTTGTGAAGAACTGATGACCGTGCAAACGCCTTTCCACACAGAGTGCACTTGAAGGGTTTCTCTCCTGTGTGTTCTCTGGTATCTGTGAAGATCTGATGACAGTGCAAACGCCTTCCCACACACAGCGCACTTGAAGGGTTTCTCTCCTGTGTGTGTTCTCTGGTGGATCTTAAGATCTGATGACCGTGCAAATGCCTTCTCACACACACTGCACTTGAAGGGTTTCTCTCCCGTGTGTATTCTCAGGTGCCTTTGAAGATCTGATGACCGTGCAAACGCCTTTGCACACAGAGTGGACTTGAAGGGTTTCTCGCCTGTGTGTGTTCTCTGGTGTCTGTGAAGATCTGATGACAGTGCAAACGCCTTCCCACACACAGTGCACTTGAATGGTTTCTCCCCTGTGTGTGTTCTCTGGTGCTGCCTCAAGCTTCCAGTGTGATCTGTGCTGTATGGGCACTGGTCGCACTGGTGTATTTTAGTACCAAGTTGGGCTGAGTGTCTTGGCTCCATTTGAATGATTCTGCAGAGCAAAGTGGCAGAGGAACTGGGAGCTGCAGACAGAACACAGGAATATCCACACGATGTATGTGAGCATAGATGCACACAGGTATACACATATATACAGTTACACATGACATTCACCTATGACATACACATCTATACTGAAGCATTCACGAGAAATAAAAAAAAAATCATCCCCAATGCACCATACAAGCTCATTTAAGGCTCGATATGCTATTGACAATCACCTATTGACCTGGCACAGCAGACAATGTGAGTGCAAGTGGTCAGCATTATACCTGGAGGTCCCTTGTATCTTCAATAGCAATGCTAATCCATAACTCAATGTACACAATTTCGGTTGCGTCCGGCTACTGAAGAAATGTTGACTTTAGCAACTTTCTGCTAAAAATAAAGGGTGTTAAAAATAAAACAATTTGCAATGGGCAAAAAATGTAGCAAAATAGACAAAGTAATGTTCAATTGCAAATTGGAGGTCCAAAGCCAGGATCAGTTTTGCTTGAATTCTCGAATTGACACTTGTTGCTTTAGCTGTGTATTTGCTGTGTTCATATCCTGTTTCCATGCTTGTAAAACATTGCATGGAAGAAAATATCACTTTCATTAAACCTTGGTGTTTAATAGAGTCATCATACTTTACAGCAAATACAAACTTTAGACTCTAACACACTGGCACGATGAACAAGGTGGTGGTGTGGTCAGAACCATGCTTGGCTGCCTGTATCTGCTCAGTACTGACGCTCATTTCACCAAGCAATTAAATGACGATCAATCAACCCAGTGGAGGATCACAATAAGTTATATCACTTGTCAATAATGTCTACTGTTAGCAATAATCCAACTCTGTTGGATACATAATGCAGTGGACTAACAACTTCGGCTCGTTCCCCATGTAGATATGCTCTTACGTAAATGTTTCACATGGATAAATAACGTATAAACAAAACAGCCACCATTCAACACTAATTGGAAGCAACATCATCACAGTGCTCATGTCAGGATAGGTGCAATTTAAGGCCATGTAAGTGTGGAAAACTTTCCAGCAGGTCATGGGAATTATACAGGTATCAAGGGATGATCGACTAATATGACTGCCAGATGCACCACCTGTGCTCCCCACTGTGGCAACAATGCGTTTTAGCCACTCAGTGCTCTGGCTATTGATGTGGGCATTGCTCCTCCGACCTCGTTGCAGGGCAAATGCCTCCAACTGGCCTGCAGCATTCTTCACGAGCCTCCTCCACAGAGGCCGATCTTGACACCGCTGGATAAAGTCTTTGGCAAATCCACTCAGCTCCAGATCCTACTACTGTATACCGTATCAGTTCATCTCTTTTCCAGCCCTATCATGCCCGTTTAGCCCCCTTTATCCAACCAAGCAGAGGCTGCTTGGGCATGCAGACATGATCCAGAAAACAGACCTTTGCCCGCTGGAGCTCACTGATGGGAATGTGTCCAGATATTTCAAGGATTTGTGAGCTCCTCACACAATCCAGCCTGGTTAAACTCAAGATGGATGGTAGGCAGGCCAGCCTGAATGGATCCTAAATCCTCTCTCTCCCATGATATAAATAGCAACCCTCAGAGTATACACACACAGTGTACATACACGCACTGTACACACCCACTGTAGATACCAGAGGTGGGACAAAGTCATTGTTATGCAAGTCCAAGTTGAGTCTGAAGTCATCAAATTCATGACTCGAGTCTGACTCGAGTCCAAGTCACATGACTCGAGTCCACACCTCTGGTAGATACACATAAAGATCCCCCGTATAGCTTTAACAGACTTCATATTCTTTGTTCTTTCGATAAAGTCACGTAGAAAGAAAACAAAAATAACATAAAATATAAATATGATTTTAATTGTATTGTTATTTTAATTGTAATAACATTTACTTTAATACAATAAATTTTTTTAGTTATTTTTATTTTCTATCTACGTGACTTTACCGAAAGAACCAAGAATATGAATTCCTGCAGTCACAAAAGTTTTAAGTCAAAGCCTTAAGACTGTTGGGGAAAGTGCTGTTAGTATCTATGAAGGCCGGTACAGTTCACGTGGGGGTGGGTGGCCAGCACCACACCTGACCGCCTTTGTCTCCCCAGTTGTGTTTACATACCACACCAGGCACTCATTAGAGGCGGAGTCGACCTAGGGGAGGCCCAAGAACCGGTTCAGTTAATCGGCACTGTGGCCATGAGCTCAGGTCGCCGGGTGTGCAGCACAGCGCGCTAACCACTGCCCCACGCACAGTGCAGACACACAGTGTCTATATAATGGATACACGTTGTACAGTGTACACAACGTAATGTACACATACGCATTGTACATGCAGTGTAAAGTACGCAGTGTATACTGTATACAGTAAACACGAAGTGTACAGTGAACACTTGGAACATACACGCGTACAGTGTACACAATGTTCACGTTGTTGTTGAACTCACGCACTCAAGGGATCTCTGTAGAATAGAGGAATTTAGGATTAATATAAATAAATGTAAACGCTAAATCCACTGCTCACCACACCACTTCACTCACCCGATTTCTCTCTCGCTCAGTCTCTGACGTCACTACACGCACGTCATCAGCCCGAGACGGCTGGGGGAGGTGTACCCTGCTAGTGACGTCATGTGATCAAGTAACTCCACCCCTCACGCGTACCAGCGCGTGACGTCATGTATGTTTGGTCCATGCCGAATGCCCTCCCAGTAAAATTCTAATTTGGTCAAAGCCACGCCCATTCATCTCATTAACAATTTATTTAAATTCGATTCATATTCTTTGGTTCTTTCGGTCAAGTCACGTAGATAGAAAATAATAATAAAAAATAAGCTAAAAATAATTGTATTATTTTCTATCTACGTGACTTTACTGAAAGAACCAAAGAATATTAATTCCTGCAGTCACGAAAGTTTTCAATAAAAATGTTACCGCCTCTACGGGGAGGATTTACACATAACCATAATATCTTTTAACAAACTCCGAGACAAGAAAGCTCATCTGATCGAGTCACTCACATTTCTGAAGAGATGCCACGACTCTAAGGTAATACCGATCTCATTTACACTTGACTTCTGCTGCCGTCACATCTTCCAATGCCAAACGAATTTTCTTCAGACCTAGCTTAGCCCTGATCTCAGAGAGAATTAAACTGATCCGTACTGAACTAGACCATGTAGACAAGACACTATTGAAATCACACTTAACATTGATGGAACAAATGTCTACAACAGATTGGGAACATGTAAATAACATGACCGCTTCATCAGCCGCTACAATGTCAACTAAATGTAAAGATGACTTGATTTCCAAGTTCAACCTCCTTTCCAAGAAAAAAACAGATCCACACATGAAAAAGTTAGACGTTGACAAAGTTACATTTTGACTTAAAACTTTCGTGACTGCAGGAATTCATATTCTTGATTCTTACGGTAAAGTCACGTAGATAGAAAATAAAAATAATAAAATAAAAGCACGACGTTTTGATTGCAACACAAGCGGACTTCATCATTTTTCTCTCCGCCTGATGAAGACTGCTTGCGTTGCGATCGAAACGTCGTGGGGTTTTTGCTTTCATTTGTATTTTATTTGAAATTTTATTTGTATTTTATTATTTTTTATTATCTCCGTGACTTTACCGAAATAACCAAGAATATGTTGACAAAGTTATTATATTCTTTGGGTCTTTTAGGAAAAGTCACGTAGATAGGTTCAAAGAAAATACAATGTACAAAAAACTACGACGTTCCAAACACAACACAAGCGTTCGTCATCAGGAAGAGGGGGTTAGCTTCTAAAGGTAAACTGTTTATAAAGGTGTAATAGGCTCAAAAATAGGCGCTCACAACTTCTTGGGAGGCAACACTTTATTAACACAACGTTCCTTAACATAGGGTGGTGACCACCGACCTATCCTGACTAACACACACCATCTCTCACTAACACGGACACTCAGATACAACTAGCGTGACCCAGTCAGGAGGGCTACTGGCTGGTCCGCTGACTGTAGGCTTGACTCTTCACGAGACGTCTTCACGATGCATCGTCATTCTTGACATGGGCAGCCTCGAACCATGTGAGGGGGCTGCTTATATGGGCCTCGGCGTGTCCGGGCCCCACCCCGGCCCCGCCTTCCTTCGAAAACCCTCTTAAAGCTCCTCGGCTGTACACGTGGCCCCCCAAGGTGCCCCCGGGCCCCCACCTTGATTCAGTCACGTGTCCAGCCTGGCTCACTCAAGAGTTCCACGGCCTTACACAACCTACGTGGCCTCACCCAAGGCCTCCAGATCCCTGAACCGGCCCTGACATTATTCCCACCTCCAGACGGGATGACGTCATGTGCGTAGACCCGCGTGGTAGTGACGCTCCCCGCGTAGTGACGTCACACGTTTGCATGTGTGTACACAGTAGTGACGTTGCTAGTCGCTTCAAAGGTTTGAAATGGGTGGAGCCAAAATGTCAGCAGCTAATGTGGTGGGCAGCGACAGTGGTGGGTTTTCCCACCAATCATAGGGCTGCCCAGTAAAAATTAGCATTAAAATGTAAGATCGTTGAGAGGCCTCCACACCCTGAGGTGGCGATGTTAATGTGAGAGATTAGCATGTTAATGGTAGATTGCAAAGCAAAAACCTCGAGCTCGGCGAGCAAGGTAGCTGTTAGGGTGAGAAATGTTTATTGTTATTTTTTTCTTTGAACCTATCTACATGACTTTACCGAAAGACCCAAAGAATATTAATTTCTGCAGTCACAAAAGCTTTAAGTCAAGTTTTAAGGTTGTTATTAATCTGAGTAATAGCTCAATTTCCGATGGTCTAAAATCGGTTTTGGCTAAAGGGTTAAACTTTGCAGTCACACCCAAACACATACCCGTGGATGACATTATTGCCCAGATCGATGTAGCTCTTAAGAGTTTGAGACACATCGCTGCAGACGTGACAAGATCGGAAATCGCTGCAACCCTCAAAAGCGCTAAGATACCGGTCAGCAACATCAGTAAAGATGAGCATTTTGAGTTATCTCAATTGAAATAGAGGGATGATATCGTCATCCTTTCAGCCGACAAGGGCAATGCCACGGTGATCATGGACAAAACCGTGTACAATAGCAATATTCAGGACCTACTTAATGATGGTAGCTACATAAAAATAAAAAAAAGATCCCAACAATAGCCTCGTTACAAAAACGAACAGTATCATTACTGATTCAGCTTGATTAATTGAACAGACCAAACGGTTTTCTTTAAAACCTTCTGCTGCTAGACCACCCAGATTATATAGCTTACCAAAAATTCATAAAGGTACACCCCTCTGTCCCATCGTCTCCACCATTAGCTCACCCACCTACAAACTGGCCCGATATCTGTCTGAGACCTTGCAGCCATTCACTGGTAAGACCACCTCTTCTGTACATAACTCAGCTCACCTGGTATCGTCAATTAAAGACATCTCACTGTCCCCGGGTGATTTCCTCGTTAGTTTCGATGTAGTTTTTTTGTTCACCAAAGTTTCTGTGCCCGATACCATTGCAATCATTCAAGAATTGGTCCAACAAGGATTGAATGATGTACCGGCCCTGGTGACACACTGCCTCACCAATACATACTTCACCTGAAATGGAACATTCTACAACAAAAACTGAAGGCACCCCAATGAGTTCTTTCTTATCTCCGGTTGTAGCCAACATTTTCATGGAATAATTTGAGACGGACGCCATCCAGGCATCCACTCTACACCCGTCCTTGTGGAAGAGATACGTGGATGACATGTTTGTCATCTGGCCACATGGTCGACCAGCTCTGAACCAGTTCCTCAACCACATCAATTCCATACACCCAGCCATAACACTCACAATGGAAGTAGAACAGGATGGCATGCTACATTTCTTGGATGTCTTCAATCACTTTGGGTAATGGACTTGATTTGTAATTTCTTGTCAACCTCCACCTGGATGTGTGGAGCGAGGTACAATGCCTCCCATCTCTACCTCCTCTCTCTCCCCCCATCTCTATCCCCCCCTCTCTCTCCCCCTATCTCTACCCCCCTTCTCTCTCCCCCTATCCCCCCCCCCCCAGCCCCATATCTCTACCCCCTCCCTCTTTCCGTATCACTACCCCCTCTCACCCCCCCTATCTCTCCCCCCCTCTCTCTCCCCCCTATCGCTGCCCCCTGTCTCTGCCCCCCTCTCCCCCCCCCCCATCTCTGCCCCCTGTCTCTCCCCCTTATCTCTCCCCCTCTCTCTCCACCTATCTCTGCCCCTTCTCTCTCCCTGTCTCTGCACCCTCTCTCTTCCCCTATCTCTGCCCCTTCTCTCTCCCCCAAGCTCTGCCCCCTCTCTCCCCCCCCTTTGTCTTCTCCTGCAATAGCATTGCCTGCCCCGCCCATGCTGCTGAAACACTTGGATGCGCTGCTTGCCGTTCAGGGCTGGCTTCACGACTCTTGTGCCCCGCCCACTCACAGCTTTGGCTCGTCCATTCATGCTGCCCCACAGCACTTGTCTCCACTAGCAGTCGCCGCCCGCTTCGCGGGCGGTATGTATATGCTTGGTTGGTGGGGAGTTGAAAGTGGCTGGACACAATAGACATGTTTTGGTGATTTTTTATGTTTATTTTTGTGAGGTTATATGCATTTTTATGAGACGCTCAATCGACAATATTAAAGAATGCAACTTATTCAAATATAGAATGCAACTTATTGAAATATCTGGTGATACACGATATTCTTCGTGTACACTCCGTCTTCCTCCTCGTCGTCAGGTCCCTCAATAAGCGCCTTGATGTTGGATCTTGCCGTGACTCGCGATAGTGCCACGTACAGTTGGCCGTGCGAGAAGCATGGCGTTGGTAGATATAATCCCAGGTTGTGAACAGTTTGCCCTTGCGCCTTGTTGATGGTCATCGCGAAGGCTGGGACAATGGGGAACTGTTTGCGCCGAAGTCGAAATGGGAAGTCCTTCGTGTCCAATTCGCGGCGGATATGGTTGTTCTCAAGCAGCGAGTCCAAGACCAAGTGTGGGTACTCGGAAAGCTGCGGGAGGTCGTCAAAGTCCGACAGAGCCATCCCACCTGCCGTGAGGAACTCGTGGAGGCTGTGAAGGGTCTTGAACTTTACCATTTCTTTTATTTTCTTTGATGCTGCTAATCCTGCATAATGCACGGGTATAAGTAGTACTAATCACATACCTGCATTTCCCATATCCCCTCCCTTTGATGCTGCTAATCCTGCATAATGCACGGGCATAAGTAGTACTAATCACATACCTGCATTTCCCATATCCCCTCCTTTTGATGCTGTTAATCATGCATAATGCACGGGCATAAGTAGTACTAATCACATACCTGCATTTCCCATAAATATGCTAAATTCCTCTTGATATGCAAATTTTTTTGTCAAGGCACCCTTTCCCCCCCTTCCAACCCAGCTTATATATATGCTCCAAGCACGTGTGCTGTTTCATTCAGACGCTGTCGCCTCGACAGACCTGGTTTTCACCTGAGGACGGCTGCTTGCGTTGTGGCCAAAACGTCGTGAGAATTATTTTATTATGTTTTATTTTTATTATTTTATTACTTCCCTTCTACGTGAATTTAC